ATAGGTTGAAGGAAAGACTTAGAAAGAAGAGAAGAATAGTACTTACCTACGGATAAACCACTAGCCAAATCTAACACGCCTATTTCGACTTAGCCGCCGTAGGTTACACGAGAATTGGAAGGAATTAGCGAAAGACTCGCCGATTTGCCGCGCAACACTATGGAGTCCTACAACTCTAATGAACCCTTCTATATGTTTTTTTTTTACTTTATTATGGTTTGTTTCGTTTTTTTAAAAAAGTACTCTAAACTGTATAAATAATGTAAAATTAAATTGAATTTATTAGCCAATCAGACAAACTTCTGTCTATGAAATTAGGTATAATAAAAAAAATTTTTTTCCGATCAAATTTAAGATATTAAAAAGCTTATACCTTTCATATAAGTATTTTGGATTTAATCATTCAGTAACATATGCCTTTTATATAAATATTTTGGTCTTCATCACTCAATTACCTTTATTATAAATTATCCAGGCAATACTGGTACGTAATATGAAGTTTCACATTAAAATTTTAGCTTTCAACTGTTACTACGTGTAATCAATTGATTTTACAAAGTAATGATGTATTCTCAACAAAAATAAATAACAATAAAATTGTTTTTATTATTTATCAGACTTGTACGTACCTTCTTAAAATGACCGGACGTGGTACTAAACGAGTTTTAGTTCAAACTTCTGATTCTGAAGATGAAAATAACCTACTAATTACTGAAAGTAGTGGAGCTCAACAATCACGCCAACACTCTGATGATAATGACAAAAGGAGCATATGTTGGAGATATTTTAATCCATTTAAAGTTCCAAAACGTGGAGAAATAACAAAATGTACTATTGATGGATGTAATAAGAAATACACATGGAGCGGATCCACTTCTAACCTTGTTAAACATCTTAAGACTAAACATGGTATACCACCCACAACTGTTCAGCCATCCCTAACAAACAATAGCTTTAGAAACTTTGAAGTTAATCTGCCAGTAATTAAATTTATTGTTTCCTCCATATTGCCTTTTGATATTGTTGACAATTTAAATTCTTCTGGGCTTGTTAATTCACAAATTACTCCCAGCATTATAGCAAATCAAATACCTCAAGTATATAATTACTTATTCTTTCAATGAAGTCAAAAGTTCAACAAGCAAAGTCTGCTATGCTTTCAATTAGTGTGAATATTACTGATAAAGATGATGATTATATCATAGTCGCTTGTAATTGGTTAACAAAGGACTTTGAATTTCATAAAATCTTTATGTATATGTATAAATTTATTTTTATTGATATTGCACCTATTGACTATAACATCGAGGATTTAATTAAGTGGGGATTAACCAATTTGAAATTTATTAGCTACATTCCAGGGGATTTGGCTTATTTTAAAAGTTTCTATTTCTATGATAATTTAAATTTTGATGAGGTGCTCGACGAGCTAAAAGGTGATAGTGAAAATATGATTACATGCGTAAGCGGGGGTAGTGGTGATGGTTTAATAAGACATAGTTTAAAAAGATGGGCAGAAAAAAATACCAATGTTCAAGAAATGTCTGATATTATCAATGCTATTTTGAATGCTACTCAACACCTTTGTTCAGTAATAGAGTTTTTAAAAGATGAAAAGAACTCTAAGAACAATGAATAATATCTAAAATGTGAAAAAAATTAGTTGTAAGTGCCATTACCATAAAATAGAGTTTCTTGCGTTAATGGAAAAGCCTTCATAGTAATAACGATAATTTTATTAGAGAAAGAATAGATACTGCAACCCATATTTTTTTGGCCGGCAGCTCGGAATTTCCTTGACATAAGGACTTTCGTTGCGCAAATAGTATATAATGTATAAGATAGAAATTCAAGTAAATATAGAATTAGACATAGAATTAGACATAGAATTGAACGTAGAATTAGACGTAGAATTAAACAAATATATGTAAATTATTATTATCTATTATAATTAAATAAAAATAAACACTGATAAAATGAATAATTTTAAATAAAATTAAAAATACCTAATGTAACATTAAACGGCATTTATTTTAAAGTTATAGCTATAAATAAATTTCGCTTTCATTTGGAACAATCCTACCCATATATGCATGTCATCATCTATTACGTAAGGCGGCGAAGCCGCCACATGATCATGTGCTAGTTAACTAATAAATTTGTCCTATTGTTACACGGATCATCAATTAAATGTAAAAAGCTTCAGGAAATATAAAAGGTTTATGAAAAGTTCGGGATTCTATATCAATCTAATCTTCAAATAATTCGTTCGCAAAAACCTATTCAATGTTGCATATTATTGTAAACCTTTTCTTTCAATATTAACAAACGTAAAATTAACACCAGATGAAGGATTGTATTTGGCCAATAGGCAAATTATATATTTAACAATAATAGCTTTGATAAATATTAAGTGATTAAACTGTATTTCTGATAAAAATTGTTTTTTCATGTCTTTTTTCAAAAAAATTTTTCTCAGTTAACAACTAAAATTAATTAATCGGAAGCAATATTTTCAACTTCAGAAAAATTTTATCTGACTTCAATGTTTTAAAAAAAGGGTTTAAAACAATGAAACAATTGGTTAAACCGTTTTTTTTACCATCCCTATCCTAGCATGACCACCAAGATCAGCTACGTAATCTGTATTTAATATCGAATGTATAACGATGACCAAGTAAAACATGAGATAATAATTTAATATAATTGAAAACGTTTACTGTTTACAGAAATACTTTAATCGACTTTGATTTCCTGGTATGTAAAAGTAGTATTCAGCACTATCCTTTATTTAGATAATTAGATGTACTTTATTTCTTCCATCATGTTTTTGGAAGGCTCTTTGGACGCTTCTATCATTTATCATTTTTTCAATATGAAGTTTGAATTAAACTAATAGTTCCTAATCTGTGTTTCAAAAGGCTCTGTAATGTCATTGGCTAGTTTGGTTTGTATTGTATATGCCTATTACATATATAGGTTCTCCGCTTATTTTTGCTAGTAATTTAGGTGAGAACAACAATTAAAATTTGCTATACCGTATATATTTAATTTTTTAATTATGTACCGTACATATAAAAATACTACATAGTGTTGGGTTCGGAAGTTTGCGACTCTGTCGCTCCAAAATTCTAAACCTCGTGTAACGTACGACAAGTAACCTT